CACTGCTTTCCAGTCCTTGTATAAACAAACGACACACTGTGGTAGTCTTAAATCCAACATGATCAACACTTAATGAGCAGTGACATCAACATGATTTACCACTTTTCCTAGAAAATCAGTCATTCCCAGTGCGGAAGTTAGAAGTTTTAGAAACAAGATTCAATTTTTATGGTCACAAGGATGTTGTATATTGCTATTTCAGTATTCCAATTGCTAGCTCCATAGTCAGAAATTAAAAGCAATTTCCCAAATTATGCAGTTTTGTGTTCAGGAGATATATACTTCTCTTTTATATTCATGTTTCTCATAACAAGGAACATAGGCAAGATGTCTGAGTAGGAATTAGATGCTTGATTTATATTTTAATTTTAAAGAATTAAGTAATGAGTGAGGTGAAAAATAATTTTTATTTACATATAGTCTGTGCTTACTTGTCTGCATTATCTGTAATGTTTATATGCATAATATAAAATTGAGTGATATATATTGAAAACCAATTATGTTAACTTCTGATAAAAAATAGTCTCTTTTCTCGCTTTATTTTCAGAATGGTAATGTAGAGGTAAAATTGGGAATGACAGAGAGTTGTCAGTGAACTTTCTGTGTTTTTCCAAGCGTTTAAGCATTTTTTCCTATTCTCAGTAAAACTTGGATTTAAAAAATAAAAATGTTGTGGCCCTCCCTGGTGGCGCAGCGGGTTAAAGCACAGCACTGGGAACCTAAAGCCGCTTCCGCATGAGTTCAATTCCCACCTGCCCCGGAGGTGACCACGTGGTGTGACAGACCTCTCCTGACCCGCCCGCTGCTCCCCTCAGCAGTGTACTTCGTCCATCTGCCTGTTCTACTCCCCACTCTGTCTCTAGTGAAGCCTCTCACCCCCTGCATCTCTGGCCTGTGCCCCAGTTCTGTATGCACAAATAAATAAATCTTAAAAAAAATAAAAAATAAATAAATAAAAATGTTATGTCTCACAATTTACCTCCAGACATCTCATTTTCACTGCCATTTTAAAATTGCTTAAATCACTTTCCTGTTAGACTCATAAGGATAAAATCATGTTCCAGTCTTCCTTAGTCATTTTCTCAAAGCAAAATAAGGCATTCCTTTAATAATTGTAATTTTTACTCTTAATTTAACCAATAATAATTTAAAAGAATTATCTTATACATTGTGATCTTCCTTAATTATTTATTATCTAGCCTCACAACCACTTGTAGAGGCCACTTTTGGTAGGTTTTCTGCTCTATCCAGAAAGATGCAACATTTAATAATATTCACATAAACCCTTCTCCAAATTTTAGAAAATAAATAATAAAATCTTACTGAATGAGAAAGAATATTGGGGTTTGAAAGGAGGGGGTGTTTCTAATACATACGAACATTACAGCTCTCAGATGTGGAAATCCAAGTGGAGCAATGAGGGATAATGAATAATTGTGCTAAGGAGAGTCTTGGTGCCACATTTCCTAGAGCTGAACACCTGCACCCAGAAACCAGAATGCAGCTATTTTCAGTTTTGCATTTGCTAATGTGAGTCAGAATGCTACTTAATAAGAATGAACATTATTCTCTTTGCATTATGATAACTATAATTTACCTATATTGCCCCCACTCTGTAGAGTCCAACCCCCTGACTGATCTTTGTCATTGTTGATATTTCTTCAGCCACTACACCTCCAAGGAAGCATAACTCATTACTGATACCAGCTTTGTCACTTCCATTACTGGCCCCATATTAAGTATTCTCATTTATTTTCCATTCTCCTTCTCATATCCTTCATACAGACTTGTACTGACACCTGGTTTATTACTCAAACACTGAACTCCATATTCTCAATCTGAAATCCTATTCTCTGCTTTACTTTACCTCTCCATTCTAATTAGGTCTTCAAAGATCTCTTTTACCTCTTTCCTCAGATGACGGTCATGCTAGTCTCTTCTAAGGTATCACATATTGGGAAGCATTCCCTTTCAGTCATTTTTAAAGTAACCCCTGCATTATTTTTTTTTAAAAAAAAGATTTATTTATTTATTCATACAGAACTAGGGTACAGGCCAGAGATGCGGAGGGTGAGAAGATTCACCAGGAACAGAGTGGGGAGCAGAACAGGCAGATGGACGAAGTACACTGCTAAGGGGAGCAGCGGGCGGGTCAGGAGAGGTCTGCCACGCCATGTGGATCTCCTCCGTGGCAGGCAGGGATCGAACTCATGCATGAGGAATTGGCTAAGCTTTTTAGTGCAGTGCTTTAACCCACCAGGGAGGGTCAACCCCTGCATTATTTTGCCATGCCTATTACTTTCCTATCATCTGCTTCTTTTGTAGTCTTTTGATTACATAATATGTCTATTTTATTGTTGTAATTATCATCTTTAAAGTGTGTTACTCTTTGGTTTGTTATTTTTAATTGCTTATTGGGTTTTCCCCAAATATGTGAAATTCATGGGCATAGTTACTTTGAACTCTACCTACCTACATAGTTGACAGTAAATACATATTTAATGAAAACTCACTTCTGCTAAGAATCTTACTAGATGTCCTATCCAAATAATGATGCCAGCCATTTGGAATAATTAGCACATTATTCTAGGCTTAGTCTTTTATACTGTTGTCCCCATTTATGAGGCAGGGAGTAGAAACAAATGGACTCTGCAACTCAGGTTAATAACCTTCATTCCACTCAGCTTGGTGGGCATCACCAGAATTCTCCAAGGCCAGATTGGTAGTCACCCATGTGTGGATCATTAGAGATTACTTCTTTGTTTTTGGGTGCTATTTTACTATGTTACTTATTAAGTTGCTTAACAGAATGACCCTTTCTGAAAACCAGATTTCCATACCATTAGAGAACATGTTGAAAAATTCACAGGGTCTAATTAAATTTGCCTATGCATCTTTTATTTAATCTCATAACATCTTATAAATTTTATTCACACTGTCAGTTTCATTATAGTATGTTTCATTATAAAGAAGATGTAAAGTACAAATTTAAATCAGCCTTTCCCTGAATCACACGGGTGGACAAGTAAATACATTTTCCTTTAAATAAATGCTTAAAGTAACCCTCTCCATCCAAGAAGGCTAAGGACTTCCTTGTTATTAAATGACTGCACTTTAGAAGTTATTTTACTGCAGTGAGTGCTTTATAGAGATTTGTATAATTACTTTATAGTGTGAAATAGAATTGCAAAACTAAGATGAAATGGGCTCTTTAAGTAACTAGGAAGAATATTTAGAACCTTAAAGGTGAAATAACTGCCAACACATAAAAGGCTTTTGAGGATGTCAAATTTATATCAAGGATGGATAGATAGATAGATAGATAGATAGATAGATAGATAGATAGATAGATAGATAGATAGATATAGATAGATACACACATAAGACTAATGAAGAAATACATGTAGTAAAATGATATTTTCTCTTAGGAAATCATAATCATGTTTCAGGAAATTGATATAATTGTTCAGAGATATCACTGCAATCCTACATTTTTTTACCAGATCTTTATGATAACACTAAGCACTTAGTGAAAAAAAAGTTCTATGTTATTTATAGAATTTTCATAATTCCAAGGGGACCAAGGTATTTCAAAATATATTTAATACCTAAAATTGTATAAAAGTGTATCATTTCAGTAAAAAAGTTGCAAAGGTTTCAAACATAGAGTATTTTGCTTGGAGGTGTATTTTAGTGTTATTCTTTTTTGCTAATGTTACTACATGTAAAAGCTACTGAACATTTTGTTATTTAAAAAAATAAATAAATAAAAAGATCTTGGCTTCCCTAGTGGTGCAAGGGGTTTAATCTCAGCACTAGGAAGCTATCTGTAGCCACTGCAGTGAAGTTTGAACCGCCCCTTATCTACCACCAGGGAGCTGACCCACATGGCACAACAGACCTCTCCTGTGTTGTCCTCTGCTCCCCTTACCAGTGTACTTCAGTAGCTCACCTGTTCTGCCCTCACTCTGGAGAATCCTCTCACAACCCTGCACCCCAGTTCTTATATGCATAAATACATAAATCTTAAAAAAAAAAAAAAAAAAATTGAAAAATAAAAAAAAAGGGAATTAAAAAAAAAAACCCTGTTATCTCTTTTCCAGTTTGGATACTCTAAAATACTTTGTTATGAAGAAGGTATACAAAATAATAATATGAACTCATTTAAAATGCTATTGAATTTCTTGAGATGATAAAAATAATCTATAAAATGAAACTAATCTAGTTAAATATTTTTTTTCCTTCACAAACTTTTCTGTTGGCCTTTTGTCATTGCATTTAATTTTTAAACATTTGAAGTCATTTGATATATTTAACAAATTTCTTGTTTTTCAAAAAAAAGCTAAATCTTATTTTTTTCAGAGACTTATTAAATCCTTGTTTTTACCCCCAAGACACATAAATTCCAACTTCAAGTAAAAATAGGATTTATAAGTATAGTATATTCTACAAACATTATAAGTCACATGAAATTTGCTTTAATATATTAAAAATCATGTGTGCTTTGAATAGTCATAGTATTTCACTTGTGACTTTTCAGAGACCACGTCTACTAGGAAAGATCTTCTGCTTGCCAATCAGGTATAGTCAAGCTTCTGCACTCTTCTCCCTTCGAGCCCAAAAAACAGGTGAAGCCTATTCCAGGACGTTTTGTCCTGGACATAATAGAATTGTTGGGCTATAGGCTCTTAGACACAGAGCTTCAGAGACTCCTGCAAAAAAAAAAATTTGTTACTAAGATCAGACAACACTGGTTGAAAATAATGTAACTCAAAATACAATTAGTTAAATGCTCTAAAATGATGATAATGATTTGAGGACTTTATAGCATTTTAATTAATAATTAGTTTCATTACATATAAATGATTATTTGAGGGTTATTTACCCACTGCTCTTAGGTATGTTGTGTGTTTTGTTTTAAAAAACAATCATTGGTTTTATTTTTGAATGCTTCTTTTTTTTCTTTTTGTTCTCTTTTCTTTCTTTCTTTCTTTTTTCAGATGACACGAGAACAATATATACTAGCAACACAACAGAATAACCTGCCAAGGGCTGAGAATGCACAGCTTTACCCTGTGGGAATTTATGGATGGCGAAAGAGGTGCTTATACTTCTTTGTCCTTCTGCTGTTGGTTACCATGATTGTTAACTTAGCCATGACAATATGGATATTGAAAGTTATGAATTTCACTGTGGTAAGTACCACTATGATTTTCCATCTATCATTTTGATTCAGAAAAATATAGCTATATTATTTTAATTTTTCTATTTAAAGTTATCCACCTCAAATTTTGATTTTGCAAGTATGCTTTTAAATTCTTCAGACTGTCATATATTAAGACTACATTCAAGGTATTTACTCATAATACATACATGATATTGCTACGTGCTATCTATGTGTGAGAAATTTAGACATGAACTGTATAGCCCATTGTTTCATTAGAAAATCAGAAAATATTTAACCAATAAGAACTCTCTTGTTATATCTCCATAATAGAAATTAGTTTGTTTTTACAGATGACATTTCACATTAAAATTCATATTAGAAATTTAAAATTCCTTTGAAATATTTAACATAAAGAGTATATACCTCCCTCTCTATATGCTTTATATATATATATATATATATATATAACATACAACATAATCAACTCTAAACCCTATTTTTCTCCTGGGATGCATGCAGGGACCAATGTCTATAGTTGTTATCAGATGGTGAGCTCATTATTTCTGAACATAAATGAAGCAAGTAGATATAAACCAGAAATTGTGCCCCTCTTTTATGAAAATGAAAAAAATAGCAACATGATTATGTATTTCATGAAATAATTTTACTGCAGTTTATTGACTATGTAAAATCATCCTAGAACATGGCTAATCTGGGAGAGAATAGTGCTTTAGGAAAACAAATCTCAAGTGTTAGCATAACTAAGCAATGTCTTTCCCTTGCTTTAAGATTGTTATTATCCTTTAGAAATCTGCATTCTCATAGACCAGTGTAATGCTGGCTATCTGAATTCACTGATCTTCCTATACTGGTGGCTTTTTTTTTTTACTGCTGCATGTTGATTTAGCAAGGCAAGCGTCTTTCTGACTTCACTAATACCGAATTCTAACTTGAAACAGAATCTCAAAAGGGAAAATGAGCCCAGCATCTGTTCATAGACTAGAACACTACAGTTTTGTGCAGGAGTCTGGGACGGCAGGTGCCATAACCTTCCAGGGAGGAAAAGCTGTACCATACAGAGCATGATAAGATAGCATATGCTCATGGAGATAAATGAGCTGAGCAAGGCTTCCATTTTTTCTAATATAGTGCAAAATTTGAAGGGTATTCATGATAAGAAGAACTAAAAACAAAGGACAGACAGGATTAGAGGAACTAATAGCATCCTAGAAATAGATAAGTGTTCGGGGCCAAGTTATGTCCTTTGAGGCGTTGGTGATTAGAAGTGGAGTTGAGGGATAGAAAGCAAATTGGATGCTTTGTGCTGCTACAGTAAGCCTTTGAACCATTCCTTTGTCCCAAGAGTTGACTCCATCCTTCTCTCTCCTCCTCCCAGTCTCATTTGAGAATGTTTTGGCACAAATGTCACTAACTCTTCCCACAGCCTTTCTATTCTTTTGGGTTCTGTCTTACCTTCCCTGAGTAGATGCTGAGCTTCATCAATGATCAGTTTCTCTAATAACAAGGCCATACCCATGTCCCTGTTGAATCTCCTATGCTGTTCTATCAGCCTAAAAATATGCAGTTTCTGACTATAACTTCTCAACCTCATTTTTCTTAATTATAAAAAAAGGAGCTTAAGAATGGATTTTCCAGGTTTTACAATCTGAAGTATTCAATTTTCTCTATCAAAAGACATTCTTCAAAATTGTATGAAAGATGTAATCAATTTGGTCACTTTAGTGAGTTTTGATTCTTTCCAGTAACCAGACCACGAAAGTTTCAGATTCAAGACATGTAAACTTCTCAAGCATATTTAAATTAATTAAGAAAATATACCCTAATGCATAATTACATGGCTGCATGCATCAGGTTCCTAATACCTTGCTCCATGCTGAGACCAAGGTTGGGTAAGCCATTCAAGGGTAATAATTGAAACAAAACCTTTGTCCTCTGGCTCCACACAAGCCTCTGGGTTTCTGTCACCTATGGAGCTATCTAATTTGAACCTCAGCTGGCCAAAATGTAAATGTCAACATATTCCTGGAGATAATGAAAAGAAGGTTATTTCCATAGGACTCATGCTGTTTATATTTTACTTTAAGCATATATTTCTATTTTTTTCAATCACAGTTTAAGTTTCTTTGTAATCAAAAAAGGAGACTGTTTTTCCTTTAGTCATGTAACTTACTTATGTGGGGTAAAACTAATGGAAAGATAAAGTTGTAATTATCTTATGTATATAATCTTTGTAAAGGGACATGATCTCTATGTCAATGCAGTAATTCATAATTATTCAGAAGAATTCTTCTAAGTAGCTCCTGAAACCTACACATTAAGTTGTATGTACTGGAAAAAGTATAAAATAATTTGTAATCCCCTTCCATTAGAGCAGTAAGAAAAATCAATTTTGTGTTTTCACTAGTACATCATCATTATATTACGTCTAGAGTGAACCAAATCTACTTTTAGCCAAACTATAGTAAGAAGTAGTAAATGATGTATAAATTGTTTGGTGTGGATCTCTACAAAATGTATTTCACTTTCATTATAACTGTTGCTATCCAACACATGGAAATATGTGGCTGTTAAGATCTTTTATTTGACCAAACTAGGCATGTTATTATTGTCAAAATATTGTGTTTTCAGCACAGCAAGGTTGACTGCCAACCGGTTTTATGATACTTCTTATAGTTCATCATTGTCTGTATGGTTGATATGACCTTGTTCTGTTTCTTATTTTGTGGAAAATAAATTTACTCCGCTATTAAGATACCCTGTTGCAGGGAATCAAGAAAAAGGAAATTAGTTTATACTACAGGGTGAATGTCTTAGAATAGATATAAACAGTAATTTCCTGGTTCTGAGAGTTGATAAATATAGGCATGAGTTGAGAAGAGATATTGAAAGTTCATTCTTCCAAGATCAGTATAACCCAATTACATATTTGTGTTGGTATATTGCTGTTGTTTGATTAGTTTAATATCTTTGTGGTTCAATATAAATGTCCAGTAGATTTATCAAGCCTAGGCATTCTGCTAAGGCATTATTCTTTGCTTGTTTGAAGTACTAATAGATGTAAATTAGATCTATAATTAAAAATTAATATAATAAAGTAGCCATTTTAATCAGTACTAAGTAAAAATTGGTAGCATCCAGCTTAATTATAGTAGATATATTAACTAGTTAGCAAATGAAAAAATGGTAACATAAGTGCCATGTATTAAGAAAGGTATTAAAGCCATTATGTTGTGACTGAAAAAATCACGAATACTCAGATATGTATAATAATTAATGCAATTGATTAATCAAACAAATTGGAAAATGAAATTGCTAGCGAACTGTGTGATTGGTGGCATGGATGTTTACTGAAAGGCAGTAATACAAGAAGTAGGACTGAATATGATTTTGAGTTCAGTCATCTACATGCATCTTTCTTTTTTTCTAAGATTTATTTATGCATACAGAACTGGGGTACAGGCCAGCGTAGCAGGGGCAGTGAGAGGATTCACCTGAGACAGAATGGGGAGCAGAGTAGGCAGATCTATGAAGTACATTGCTGAGGGGAACAGTGGGTGAGACAAGAGAGGTCTGCTGCGCCATATGGATTACCTCCAGGGCCGGGGATCGAACTCTCTCTCACTGGTACAGCTGAGGCTAGTTTGCAGTGCTGCATCCTAACCTTATGTGCCACAGGGAGTGTCCATCCACAGGTTTCTAATGCTTACACTACAGTATCCCTTCCATTTACTCATTGGGTAACTGCTTAAGCCCTCCTTTGGATGACAGACATCCATCCCATCCAATCACTAGGATATTATTGTTATATAAGACTGAGATATTTTCAGGAATGTTGGGGACCAGATGCAACAATCAACAGGGCAGGATCCTTGAAGGTGGGAAATGGTGTTGGCCAGTGGAGATTTTGGGGGGGCAGGAGGAACTAGAAGAGGAAGTCAGGAGGGTCAGTCTAGGGTACAATTGCCTCCTGCCTCTGGTGTCAGCAGGACTTTATTTTTACATTGCAAGCAAGCAGTGGTATAACATTAGCATATGCATTAAGCAGAACAATAACAACCATTGCCTTTTTTCTAGGAATTGTTTGGGGTCTTTTTGACTTCCAGCTAAGATTATAACATTTATCATTTTTTTTTTAAGATTTATTTATTTATTCATACAGAACTGGGGTACAGGCTAGAGATGCAGAGGGTGAGAGGATTCACCAGAGACAGGGTGGGTGCAGAACAGGCAGATCTCGATGAAGTACACTGCTGAGGGGAGCAGCAGGCGGGTCAGGAGAGGTCTGCCACGCCATGTGGATCTCCTCGGGGGCAGGCAGGATCGAACTCATGGGGAAGTGGCTTAACTTCTTTGTGCTGTGCTTTAACCCGCTGTGCCACCTGGGAGGGCCACATTTAACATTCTTAAAAGAAAATGCAGTTGTTAAACAAGGTGTCCTCATTTCAGTTGTTACTCTTTATAGTTTAAACAATCTATTAATGTTAAAACATGTGCATGAATGTATAAAATTTAAGACTAACCTTTCTATATTCACCATAGTGAAAGATTAGCTAAAATGAAGCCCCTTTAACCCTAGTTACTATTTAGTGACCTTCATTCTCATTTAGACCTCCTGTATGTGAGAGATGAAGTAAAGCCAAGGGCCAGGGTGGAAAAGTTTACTTGTGAATCTATCACTAAAAGAGAGATAGTAGAGTTCCTCATTAAAGGCTGAACAACAAAGACAAGAAAGTAGAGTGATGGGATTTGGGTTATCAGTTCCACGCTGGAAAAGAGCTCTAGTTATTTAAGATGTTCTTAGCACTGCCTTGTTCTACAATATTGGCTTTATTATAACAGCGAATTGCTTTATTAAACAGCCAGTTGTAAAATCACTTTTGACTTCATCAGATGAAAAAGTTGTTAGAATTACAGGAGTGGCCAAAACAAGATAAAGGGGTCCAGCAGGACCCAGCTTTTTAGGAATGTACCCCCACAACACCTAACTTTTTAGGAATGTGCCCCCAC